CGCCACCGTGAGCTCTATCTCCCTCTGTATTGGTTCAGTTGCTGCTGTAGCATGTTAGCCCATCTAGCTGGGTGGCAGAGTTTGTGATGTTGTTCAGCTGAGTCCGTGAAGATGGCCACACCTTCAAAATGATGCTGTGCACAGTCTCTTGTGAGACTGAAGATCTCACAGATGTGTCAACACTCAACACACATGTTGAGAATCTCTCAGCTGTGAAATTAAAGTTATAGCTATTATAGGATCAGTTTGTTGTGGTGGTCGTGTTGAATTGTGTCGTCTCCAAAGGTTAATCAGTTGTAGATTTATACATCAAATGATTACTTGAATCAAAATATGTCCTGTGGTTCATGAGATAGAGTCAGAGTTTCTTTATTTGTCATACTGACACTGCCATTTGTCACATGTGGTGCATGTGGTGGAATGGAATTGTGTACACAGGGTCCCAGTTACATCCAACAAAAGTATAAATTGTAAAAGAAAAAACAGTAATAAGATCTAAAATATGAACTAAGAAAAACGTTAACTAAAAATATACTAAGCACTAGTAGAACAAAAACGATACGCTGAACAGCAGCACGAACATGAGTCTGTGTGAGCAGATGAGCACGAATGAACACATCAACATGAAACAGATCAGCAGCAACATGAAACAGATCAGCAGCAACATGATGTGATTTTTCACAGTGATTATTGTGGTTAAAGATTCATAAGTCTAACTGCCTCAGGGTAGAAGCTGTTCCTCAGTCTAGTTGTTCTACACTTAATGCTCCTTCCTGGAGGCAGCAGGGCAAAAAGTGTGTGTGCTGGGTGAGTGGGGTCCTTCATGATGCAGGTGGCCCTCTTCCTGCATCTGGAGGTGTAGATGGTGATGGTGGGGAGACTGACTCCAACAGACTTCTGTGCAGCCTCCATGCCACACGTTGATGCTGGAGCACAGGTTAGTTGCAACAAAGTTAATTCCAAACAGTTAATAACAAGAATTTAATAAACATCTATTGCCATCTGACTGTACTCAGATTATGTGATGGGGATCAGTTCCAGCCCCAACCACACCAAACTGTAAATTGTGAGATATTTTAGAAACACACACACATTGACTCTGATAAAAACATTTTTGCCCGTCTCTGCTTTTCAGCAGAGTGTTATAAATATACATTGTACTGTAGCTGCTAGATTTACCTTCTCATTTGTTAAGAGCATGAATGAGTTTTTTTTTATATTAATTATAAGTTAAAAGCACAGTAGGAAGGGAAACAAAAATGGGAACTCGCTAGTGAGAAAGGCACTAAATCTTCAAGCAAATGTTTTCTGTTTCAGGGCAAAGCAATTCTTAAGAGGCATGGCAACCTTTTGGCTCCAGCACTCAGCTGCCCAGAGACGGACCAAATGTACCCCAAATGTCTCTGTCTCTTCTCCCTCCGTGGGTTTACTGCTCCGCGTTCCATCCGAGAACAGATACGGTAGTGTCTTTGTTCCCGGTGAAACTCCCTCTCAGTTCATTAGATCAACTTCAGATCATCATGGACTCCTTATTGTCTAACAGGATCCATGTGATGAGTGTTTGTCTTAGCTCCAGTTGTAAGTCTGCCACATTTTTGCAAACAGCTTCCATTTGTCTGTCAGTGGGACATCAGGCATGCGGGGGGTTCACGTCTACAGGGGCAAACAGCAGTTACCCTGGCTAGGCTCCAGGACAGAAGCCAATGCAAACTGTGTAGAAGTATTTGAAGTATGTCCACAGAAAGTGAAGCTGTAACGTTAGCAAATAATCTCACAACCAAAACGCCTATAATCTGTTATTTTTCAGTCTGAGAAGACTAAAACTAGCATGAGAGACAGTGGGTGATGCACATTCCTTTATAAAACTCTAGGTCTTGGATTCTGTCTAGCATTTGAGTGAAGGAAAACTGAGCAATCTGTGCTACAAGCAGGAATCTGATCATTTGGCAGCTGCCTTGACTAAACTGATAGATAAATGTTTTCTTTTCAAAGATGCGGTGCTGGCACAAGCTGTCTTAGCAATGGTAATTGTAATCTGGCCCTTGAGGCCTTCCATCTAGATTTATGGGATGAATGGAGTCTTTTTATGATTTAAGCGACTGGCAAGGAGACAGACCGGGAGTGTTTATGGCAGCGATTTGTGAACAACGAGTGAGAGGTTTGTGGCAGAAAATGGTGTCTCTATTTTTGGACATTTCTCTATTGTGTGTCAGGGAAAACAGTTTGTGCTGACATGCTTCTATGTGGAGATAAGCAAACACGTGAAACAATCCTCCTGCTTTATTTCTAAATTCATTGCTTGATACCAAAATGTGGACAGGCCTATTTTTACATCTCTAACTGCATCTGTCGGTTTCCACATATGAACCTCTGAACCAGGGGTGCAACATGATTTCCAGATGGCCAAATTAAGATATTTAGTTCAATCAAAAGGCCACATTGAAAATTATCATAATTTTTAAAATTTCTTTTAGTCAGATAATCTTGAAGACTTTTCTCAGATTCTTTTTCGTGTAGCATAGTTAGCATGACTGATTTAAAAAAAGGTCTCCCCAATACTATGTAGGAATATGACATACTGTAAATTGGCTATAGTGGCTAGAGTTGCATTCTGGCCTAAAATATCAGGCCAGGCCCGAACCCATATCATTTTTTCCGAGCCTGACCCGAAACCGACGGATTAACTGTAATTACAGGCCCGAAACTGGAAAAAATAAAATAAAATTAATTAAGCTTTTACTGCTTGGTAAGCACTGGTAGAGCTGCTGCCTCTCAGCAAGCAGGTCCCTGGTTCAAACCCCGGTCCAGGAGCCTTTCTGGGTGGAGTTTGCATGTTCTCTCCGTGCATGCGTGGGTTTTCTCCGGGTACTCCAGTTTCCTCCCACAGACCAAAAACATGCATGTTAGGCTGATTGGTAACTCTAAATTGTCCCTAGGTGTGAGTGGGAGAGTGAATGGTTGTTTGTCTTGTTTGTCTCTATGTGGCCCTGTGATGGACTTGTGACCTGTCCAGGGTGTACCCCGCCCCTCGCACAGTGATTGCTGGGCATGGGCACCAGCGACCCCCGTGACCCAAAATGGAACAAACGGGTAAAGAAAATGGATGGATGCTTGGTAAGCAAATCAGTTTGACATGATATTTTTAAAACTTATTTCAAAGGAAGGAAGATATAAGATTTATTGTTTCACCAAATGGATATTAACATACAAAACAAATAGCCTAAAAAAAATCAACTCTAAAAATAGGATAGGATATTACCATATTTTTTGCTGTATAAGTCACGTTTTTTTTGCACAATTTACATGTCCTGTGACTTATGGTAAATGGACTGTACTTATATAGTGCCTTTCTATCTTATTTCAAGACACTCAAAGCGCTTTACACTACAATCTGTGTCCTCATTTACCCATCCACACAACACTCTACTAGATCTCTACAAAGCTAATTGAACAAATCGTTCTAAAGAGACTAATCAGTGCTTTAGATCACATTCATACACTGATGGGACACATATCAGAGGCTATGAGGGGTTCAGTGTCTTGCCCAGGGACACTTCAACATGTGACTGCTGGTGGATTCGAACCCCCAACTCTCGCATTGGAGGACGACTGCTCTAACCACTCAGCCACAGCCGGCCCTTACACACTGAAGCAAAAAAAAGCGGGGAGCTCGATTTTTGTCCTCCGCCTCTCGCAGAGTGATGGCCTGGACATGGGCACCAGTGACCCCCGTGACCCAAAGAAGAAAAAAGAAGAAGCGGGTAAAGATAATGGATGGATGGATTTGGGGCCAGATGGAGAGTGTCCAAGGGTCACTATTGACCCTTGGGCCATAAGTTGCCATGTCTGCTCTGGACAAATCCTAATGAAACACTCAGGAAGTAATCACTGAATGTTCATCTACAAGTGGCTAACATTTGGAGTCAACATGATTCAAGATAGCTTCCACAGTCAACCAAACTTAAATGTCTATACATATGTCAATTTTACAGACTCGCTAACAAATTAATTCATTAATGAATTCATTCAACCTTTATTAATGCGGGTTAGTCTCACTGCACAAGATCTGCTATTTAAAATTTGGCTAATAACTTACTGGAGTCAACATTATTTGTTAGCAAAATGTTTTCTGAACCACTGCATGAATGTTAATAAAACTTCATCACTGAATCTATCTATAATTCAGTGAATTTTATAGATACTGTGCAAGTCAGCTCTGTTTATGTGTTAGCAAAATATCTCAGCAACCACTGGAATTAATTCACTGTTAATGAAACTCTCAGAAAGTGATCACCATCAACAACCGACTGCCTTTAGGAGTCAATCCATTTCAAGATGGCCACCACAGCTACACAGAAACAGCTGGAACTCAAAACAGTTTTACAGATATGGAGCTAAAATTAGACGTGGTAGAAGCTGAGATTCACACTCAGCACATTAAATGTGACATCTTGTGATATCGCATGTGATTGTGCTTATTATTTCCAAGTTTTGAGCAGGTTCAAACACTGCAATCTTTTATTTTGGATACATTTATGATTACAGCAAAACATACACTTCACATATTTATTTCCTGCCTTGTGGCTCTATTGTTCCACTTTGCCTCTTGTTCTGATTCTCTCACTTCTGTCCCTTCCTTCCCTCAGAAGCTTTTGAGCTTTGATTTAAGAACCAAATGGATGAAGTTAATCTCTCTGTCTCGTCCATTTATTATTAATGTTACTTATCTGGTCTCATTTATTCCTCTCTGTGCAAATTAATTGGTTGCTATTTTTATTTTAAGGCCTAATTTGAGAATGATAGCTTCAGAATGTCTCTGTGTGCTAATTATCACCCATTTTTAATCAAGCTTACTTTCTGAATGCTCTATAAAACTGATTAGGTGATTTAAAAAAAATTTTGTCTTTAAAAAAAACGTTACACCGCAGATCTTTTCTGATGGTTATTTCCTTTTTTAAATTTCTCTCAGGTTTCAGTTTTAGCCTCCTGAGCAGAGGTGCTGTGGTTTCCCCATGCGTGTCCTGTGAACGACGACTCGCCCGGACTTATCCGCTCCTAATTTACTAAAAAAAATAAAAATGCCACTCCATCCATACCTCCAGAACACAGATGGCTGCAAGGTCAGTGAGAAGGAAACATCCAGGTTTGATAGTTTTGTTTCAGAATCTGAGCCACTGATAATCCACCGTTTGTCTTTTTAAGGTAACAGCAAGGCTGAGAGTGCTGTGAAGTCCCCAGATTTACATGACATGGAGGTCAAAGGTCATCTGATCACATCCATGGGTTTGGGGACCCCTGGTGAGTATCAAAGACTTCTTACAGTGTAAAGACACGTTCAGTGGCCTTGTGTCTTTACAAAACTATAATTAGGCTTTAATCTGACAGTTTTTCTCAAGGGAACAGTCAGCTGAAAAAAAAAAGTTCACACACTATCAGCACAGCTGCCAGACACTTATCAGTGAACAAAAACCTTATCGAAACCAGTAGAAACAGCCAAAAGACAGCATGAAACCCATGGTACTAAAGTTTATGTAGCAAGTAAATTACATGTGCATTTAAATATTTTCCCCTTAAATATAAAGCTCATGTTATCCTTCAGAGATGTCTGATGTGTGTTGTGCTGCACAGATCAAGGCTGCCAGGACAGCAAGCTGCAGGCTGAGAAGATCGCAGCTCTGCAAGAGAGAAAGCAGACCCTGGAGGCGCTGCTCAACGCAAGAGTGGGAGAGCTCAAACAAGTCTGTTTACAGGAAGCTGTGAGTTTTTTCACACATCTTTCAATCTGATTGCACAAACAACTTAATCTTTTCTGCTTGTTAAGATAATAGATGTGGCACTTGTTTTTTTTAGCTTCAATGTTTTTTATGTTCACTGGCAGTTTAGCTGTATGAGAACCTGAGCGCAGATGCTGTGAGCAACTTGTTGAAAACGTTTCATCACTTACAAAGGGCTGCAAATTAATCTTAGCTCAATTGCTCCTGAGAGCCTGTCAGCACATGTTAATGAGGCCGCAGCTGCATCAGCTTTTCTTTAACTGCTGTTTAACGCATCCCTTATATTTTCACATGGATGTATAGTGACTCCCCCCCCCCTCTCTGCACACTTATTTTTGGAATAAAAAATTGTTCTTCCAGCAGGGTACATCAGCTAAGAAGGTTGAACTGCAGCTCATCTGCAGAGTTGTTACCATATTTTTCGGCCTATGAGTCTTTTTTTTTTGTGCATAATTTGCATGCCCTGTGACTTATAGGCCTAAGCGACATATTTATGTATTTTTTCCATATTTATAAACCTATATTTTGGCTGAGATATGACCTTTTTCATTCATTCTGACTGAAAATATTGAACACTACCATTTTCAGCCACTAGATGGCTCTCGAGTAGTATGGCATGCCGTTGTATCATGTAATAGGTAAAAGTGACTATTAATGACACAGTCGGCTTGCCTTAGCCTGCCACCTTCGTTCTGCTCACTTGGAGCAACCGTCAAATCAGCTTCATTTTGCTGCGCCGCCCCGGCAAAATACAGCTGATTTGACCATTGAAGTACATTTATTAAGTAAAAGTTCAACTGAGACGCACCTTTACTATAATGTTGAGCAAATAAATAATTGTTTGTAGGTGTTTATCTTGTTAAAGTTTGAAGAAATGCATAGCGACTCCTCACTTTGCACACTCCCACTTCCGCATATTGGCTTTTGAAATACAGCTGATTTGACCATCAAAATGCATTTATTAAGGAAAAGTTAGACTGAGACACATCTTTGCTATACTTTCGAACAAACAAACAATTGTTTTTAGGTGGCTATCTTGTTATATTTCTAAGAAATGCACAGCGAGTCCTCCATGCACGCTCCCGTGGCCGCAAATTGGCTTTTGAAAATGCAGCTGATTTGACTATTGGAAGTGCATATATTAAGGAAAAGTTCAGCTGAGACACACCTTTAGTATGATTTCGAGCAAACAAATAATTGTTTTTAATTGTTCTTCTTGTTTAATTCTTGTTAAAGTCCTCCCGTGCACACTCTCGCGCCACCATTTGGCAGCCAATCAATTTTTGGCACAACACCAACCCATGTTTCCGTGTTATCAGGTTAGATGGTTAACAAACGCGATGCATCAGTGGTGACGCATAATTGATGCGACTTATATGGCGAAGCAACGTATTTATGTATTTTTCCACTTTCTTAGACATACTTAGACTGGTGCGATTTATAAGGCGGTGCGATGTGTACGGCAAAAAATACGGTTCATCCGTTTAGTAGTAAAATACACTCTGGTGCCGTTACATTGTTCAGGATGTTTTCTTTCATCATGTTTTTGTGCAAAGGTCCATTTAAGAAAGGACTACATTAAGATTTACATTAATCTGTTAAGTGGTGTCATTTTACATAACACACTGGACTTCGCAGACCTTATTAAATGTCCCCTACAGGAGCTGACTGGGAAGTTGCCACGTGCTTTCCCTCTGGAGCTTGGAGACAAACCCCCAGCGGTGCAGCGCAGAGCTGGCCTGGTGCGCAGCACCAAGGCAGAGGTGAGTGAACATAACACATATGATACATGACAAATATGAATATTACTTGTATTTACACATCAGCTGTCTGTGTGTGTACTGTGTCTTGGCTGCAGGATGACTCTGCCCAAAAAAAGCAGATGAAAGCAATCTTTACCGGGGCTCTGTGCAGAAACTCTGAACTGGACCGAAATCTCACAAATAGCAAAAGGACAGTCCATCGAGGATGTCATACAGGTACATGTACTCTGCAGCTAAAACCACATCCACACTCTTAGATGTTAATGTCCCGACAAGGACACTCATCTTTCCACCTATAATTATAACAGATAACAGAATTGTGCAGCCTTGTCCTGGATGTGAACTTCTTGTTGTCTTTTAGAGGACACGGTGATGTCAGAAAGTACCAGCTCCATGTCAGATTCAACATCACACGACAACGGTGAGTCAGCAGGTCATAAATTGTGTGTTTACAAGCTATTTCAGTTTTTAAAAATCTGGAAGTGGATTTTAGTATTTTCTAAGTTTAGGAAAAACACAAGTGCTTCCATACTCTGATACCTGTTGCGTTTTCCAGAAAGTGAAATGAGGAACACAGATTGTTATTTGTTGTGAGAAAACACAAAAGAGATCAAAAATAATTAGTATAAATATCTGACAGTCATGTGAAAGTGGACTACAATTTGAGTTGATTTGCTCGTGATTTTTTTCCTGAAAGACTCTTCACCGAGCGTCGGGGCTGATCAGCGCTCTCTGTCCCAGCCCCGGCTCACCGTGGGCAGTCCTGACCACAGAATCAGCAGGAAGCTCTCTCCAGTTGAGATTTATTATGAGATGAGGACACGCCGTAACTCAGCCACAAGCTCCGTTAGGTACTGATCCTGGAGCTCTGTTTGGCCAGTCTGTGAGCAAACTGTGTCTCCTGTTTGTGCATACAAAATTCATCTTGATGAAATAAGCTGTACATATCTTTTGTTGCCTTTTCAGCCCAACTCACTCTTTACCAAGAAGTGCTTCTAACGTTGAAGGTAGAAGTGTTCCAGCCACTCCGATGTTGGCCCGAACAGCTCCAATCAGTGTTCACATCAGGTAATCTGCTTTCATCTGGATCATTCATGCAGCACAACCACAGCTTGTTCCAGCTGTGGTAACTGCCATTTATAATGGCTCACTGAGTTAAATTTACACACACCCAACGTTATGAAATTGGACCAATTAGTGTCAAATGTTGCTGCCAGCAGGAGTCCTGTTTGGAATTCAGAGCTAAAACAAATGTTTTCTGTAAAATGTATTGTTACCGTTTTGACCGAACTTTATTCACTTTATTCTATATTTAGTGTCTGTAGGGGAGTGGTGGCGCAGATGTTAGAGAGGTGGGCCTGTGATCAGAAGATTGCCGGTTCACGCCCCGATACCGACAACATCAAAAATGTGGGTGGAGTAGGTGAAGCACCCACACTTACCCCCACCCTCATTCGCCCCACTCTGGGCCCATGAGCAAGGCCCTTAACCCCCCATCTGCTCCCTAAACAGGTCTCTCTTGAAAATGAGTACTCGTGGCTCAATGAGACTACATGTTTAAATAAAGGGTAAATGAAAAAAAAAAACCTTTCTTAAAAAGAGTTGCTGCTGTGATTTATTGCTCCACAGGTCAGATGCATCAAATGGTAATGGGTTGAAACAGTGGTCAGGCAACATGGATGTCCCATATATGATTCCACTGGCTCCGGAGGGCTCCTCTTCTGATCGACGAAGTTGCCCCTACAGCTCCCGAGCAAGGCGCAGCAACAGCTCTGAGGCCCTCCTGGATAGATCTAGCCTCCCAGATGATCCTGAACCCAGAAATGGCATGCCTCAGAGGGGAGGGCCCTACAAGAGCTCAGAGACACTGACTGATGGTAAACTGCGGCACATTCAACTGGGCAGCCCAGAAAAACAAGTGGACAATTCTATGAAGCAGGTTAAAATGCGTCTGTCAATGGGGGGCAGAGGGACCAACGAAGGTTACAATGACATTTTGATGGACTATATCTGGGGTAAACAGCAGAGGATGCAGGTGCAACACCACTTGTATCAGTCCACAGGCAGAATCTGGCAAGATATGTCCTCCCCTCGCTCCTCCACCGCGGCGGTGCCTCCTCATACAAATGGATTTTCTCATTCCCAGGTGCATCTTCCCAGTTCTGCAACTCCTTACAGCCCCATGGTCCTCAGAGGGTCCCAAGCTGAGCTACATAGGGTGAAAGTCACCAGGACCAAATCTTGTGGACCTTTTATTCCTTTGCAGCAACATCAAGATAGCATCCTGCTATCAGCATATGAATCCCCCCTTCCTGCCACTGGCACCAACACATCCTCCATTCCTAACCTGCATCCTTATCAAACTGAGCTGTCTGTTCCACCCTTCAGCCGTAGACCCCCCCAGTTTTCTCTTCCAACACCAGAAGATTCAACAAGGAACCTGCATAAAGCTCTGGCTCTGGAGGGACTGAGGGACTGGTACCTGAGAAATGCTTTTGGCTATCCTCCCTCTGCCTCAAAGGGTCATGAGGCAGGAATCTCTTGTCTCTCACACCCTCATCCTCTGGTGCACCAAGCCCAGTCTCTTCAAGGTGAACCAGCCAACCCCCAGAGGCCCCAGATGCCCCAGTCAGCCAGCTTCCATGGACACCCACTACATGGACGGTCAGTATACCTGTATATCTATTTGGATAGTGTCATCGTTAACATGAGCTAGAATTCACATGCATGTATGTAAACTTAAGTTTCAGTAAAGAATACAAACTGGATTATCATAAACAACATTCAGTTTTAGGTGAAAATCGCTTAAAGCTCTTGCACTGTCCGAGTAGGTACCGTACTTGCCGCCGTACACGTTGTACCGCCGTATAAGTTGCATCAGTCCAAATATATCTAATAAAGTGGAAAATAAACATAAATAAGTCGCTCTGCTGTATAAGTCGCATCTATTATGCGTCATCGCTGACCACCCGGAAATGTAGGCCGGTGTTGTGCCAAAAATTGATTGGCTGCCATATAGTGGCCATGGGAGCATGCACAAGAGGACTTTAACAAGAATTTAACAAGATTAACACTTAAAAACAATTATTGGTTTGCTCGAAATTATAGCCAATGGGGTGTCTCAGTTGAACTTTTCCTTAATAAATGCACTTTAATGGTCAAATCAGCTGCATTTCGCCTGGGCGGTGTGGCAAAATGCAGCTGATTTGATGATTAATCCAGGAGTTCTGGAGCGAGACGAAGGTGGCTTGGTATGGCAAGCCAAGTGCCTCATTAATAGCCACTTTTACCTATTAATGAGACACTTGGCTTGCTATATTAGTCAAGTGCCCTTTAGTGGTTGAAAATGGTAGTGTTCAATATTTTCCATGTCAGAATGAATGCAATCGTCAGATCTCAGCCAAAAATTGGTTTATAAATATGGCAGGGAATAAACATATATTAGTTGCTTTGCTGTATAAGGCGCAGGACTTGCAAATTTATGCAAAAGGTACAACTTATACGGCAAAAAATATGGTAATTATGTTACTGTGCAATGTTTTAGGCATACCTTTTGGTCTGTGGAAATGTTTGTACAGTATCTTCTATAAACTACAGTGAGTGAGCTCTTCCTGCTGTCATTTCCTTTGTCGTACAAAAGGAAGACAATGGCTGTCAGAAACTTTAAACACCTGATTAAATAACTGCAGGTTATGTTAATTAGCAGGATCAGTTACTTAGGTTTTGATCATTTGTAAATATTTGTTTTCCTCACATATTGCTTCTGGAACACAGGTGTTTTTTTGAAGAAAAGATTTTTTAACAATTTGTCTAAAAAACAATGTTTTCTTGTTTGTTTAGGGCTGTGTTTAGATACATTCCCAGATTTTATTTTCGTTTTTTTGCTTGTACAACTGATATTTGTTAGTGTCTTACAATAAAGCTTCCACCTGGGAATAAGCTCACTGTACAAATCCATCTATCATCCTTCTTTACAACTGCAGCTATTTTTTATTGTTCTTATTTTGCATGGTCAGCATCTTCTTATCACAGACTGCCAACATCCAGGCTGTCAATTGTATCCTGTTCAAAAGTCCACTGTCAGGAGACTTCTATAAACTGAATGCAACTGCCCACAAGACTAAAAGAAACATCCATCTATCCATCCATACATTATCTTTACCCACTTCTTCTTTTTTTGGGTTACGGGGGTCACTGGTGCCCATATCCAGCAGTCACTATGCAAGAGGCGGGGGACACCCTGGACAGGTCTCCAGTCCATCACAGGGACACAGAGACAAATGAGACAAACAACCATTCACTTTCTCACTCACACCTAGGGACAATTTAGAGTTACCAATCAGTCTAACATGCATGTTTTTGATCTGTGGGAGGAAACCATCATACCCGGAGAAAACGCATGCATGCACAGCGAGAACAGGCAAACTCCACCCTGAAAGACCCCTAGCCAAGATTTAATCCGACAACCTTCTCACTGAGAGGCAAAAGCTGTACCAAACTGCGCCATTATCAAAGAAACATAAATGAATTAATTAAAATGGATAATAAACCTTCTATGACATAAAAAAGTCAGTCAGAACATGGCTGGTTTTTGCAGAGTCTTGGTGAGGTCTTCATGCATGATGTAATAAAAGTCATTTGGCTCCTTATTCCACACAAAAAGCATGATAAGACCACAGTGGTTTGGAGCATGCACAAAACCTTCAGAGTGAGATTTATCATTGTGCTGGCAGTGTATCAAGGTCCTGAGTAGAGCATGGTGGCAATGTATTTATGATGTTGGTCCTGTGTGAACAGGCATAGAGAATTTGATGCAGGACTGGCTATGGTGGTCTCATGCTTAGACTATAGACCCATCTTGTCCTCAGTGTGCTTGCAGCACCACAAATAAATGATTGCAACATTCGCTGCCAGTTAGGATTTCACCTAACTCTCACCACATGACTCCAGCAACCAAGTTGTTGCAACCAAGTGGAGTTGCTCTCCACTTGCCAATAAATAAGGCGTCATTCTCAGCTGTCCTCCATTCGTCTTTCAGAAGCAAAGTAACAAGCTCCGGTTCTCAACATGACCAGGTTTGACAAAGAAGGAAGAGGTGTGGATGTGGTCGAGTCTCTGCACAGAAAACTCCTTCACCTGTGTCCTCTCATGCTGGTGAATAGTGTTTCTCTGCCACAGTGCAACTGAAACTGAGGATGGAGGCCCATAAACCTCTGATATACTGTATATGTTTATACAAGATATTTCTGCAGAGCATAACAGGGCTATAGAAACAACCTAGCACAAATGCAATATTGTGGCAATAGCTTGATGCTAGTGTGGCACGGGCTTCTAGCATATATCGCATTTTCTGCCATACCCGTTGCATTGCCCAGTCCAAATATGTCTAATAAAGTGGAAAAATCCAAAAATACATCGCTTCACCATATAAGTCATATTTATTATGCATCACCGCTGACAACCTGGAAATGTGGGCCGGCGTTGTGCCAAAAATCGATTGGCTGCCAAATGTCAGCTGCGAGGGCATGCACAGGAGGACTTTAACAAGAATTTAACAAGATTAACACTTAAAAACAATTATTTGTTTGCTCAACTTTATAATAAAGATGTGTCTCAGTCTAATTTTTGCTTGTTCAAATTCAAAAATACTTTATTAATCTCAGAGGGAAATTATATGTTGTGGTAACTCATCATCCTGGTTTCATTAATGAGTTGTTATAGATGCTGATGGCTGTGGGCAGGAAGGATCTCTTGTAGTGGTCTGTCCTACAACGGATTTGAAGAAGCTTCTGACTGAAGACACTTTGTTGTTGTATGACAATCTGATGAAGAGGATGCTGAGGGTTGTCTATATTGTTCTTCATTTTATGAAGAATCCTTCTTTGTACAATCATCTCCAAAGGTTCTAGAGGAGTCCCCAGAACTGAGCCAGCCTTCTTTATGAGCTTGTTGATCTTTTTAAGTCACTTGCTCTGGTGCTGCTCTCCCAGCAGATGATGGCAGAAGAGATAGCTCTCTCTACCACAGACTTATAGAAGATATGCAGCATCTTGCTGCAAACACTGAAGGACTTCAGCTTCCTCAAGAAGTACAGTCTACTCTGTCCCTTCTTGTAGACGCTTCACTGTTGCATTTCCAGTCCAGTCTGTTGTCCAGGTGAACCCCAAAATATTTATACTTCTCCACAACCTCCACTTCTTCTCCCATGATGGAAATAGGGTTGGATCTGTTCCTGTTTCTCCTGAAATCTACAATCATCTCCTTTGTTTTGTTCACATTCAAGATGAGATGATTGTTTCCACACCATGCCACAAAGCGATCCACCAGTTCCCTGCTCAGCTTCTTGTCCATCTCTGATACACCCGACTACTGCAGAGTCATCTGAATATTTCTGCAGATGACAGGAGTCTGTTTTGTACTGGAAATCTGAGGTGTACAGAGTGAAAAGGAATGGTGAGAGTACAGTCCCCTGTGGTGCTCCTGAGCTACTGACCATCTTTTACTTGATAAATGCATTTTGATGGTCAAATCAGCTGCATTTTCAAAAGCCGATAAGCGGAAACATGAACGTGCAAAGGGATGACTCGCTGTGCTTTTATTTGAAATTTAACAAGATAACCACCTAAAAACAATTATTTGTTTGCTCGACTTTGTAGTAAAGGTGTGTCTCAGTTGAACTTTTACTTAATAAATGCACTTCAGTGGTCCAATCAGCTGCATTTTTCCGGGGCGGAGCAGCGAAATGAAGCTGATTTGACGGTTGCTCCAGGCAGACGACGATGATGATGACCATGTATGGCAAGTCGATTGTGTCATTAATAGCCACTTTTACCTGTTACATGATACAACGGCATGCCATAATACTCGACTGCCATCTAGCTACTGAAAATGGCAGTGTTCAATATTTTCAGTCAGAATGAATGAAAACGGTCATATCTCAGCCAACAATTGGTTTATAAATATGGGGAAAAATACATAAATAAGTTGCTTCAGTGTATAAGTCGCAGGGCATGCAAATTATGCAAGAAACAGACTTAAAGGGTGAAAAATACGGTAGCTGCACTGTCCGAGAGAGTTGTGCCAGGATGGGGCTCAGGGTGCGGAGTGATTGTTCATGTGAAGGGAGCTTCAGGAAAAACAGTTTTTGTTTCAACTGTGTGTTTTTTGGTTTGAACAACTGTATTGAATTATTTTCTTTTTTCACCTCCCAACAGGTCGATGGAGTTTTCACTTTATCAGGAGGCTCCAGATCCACAGAAGCAAGAGGTGACTCCCAACGAAACCAGTGCAGACCCAGGCACACTGGTCTGAAGCAGCAGAATGTACTCACACGTACAACCACACACTGCGATGAATGAGTCGAAACACTGTAGCATCATGTGGACTTGATTCAAAGTGCAAGGTGATAAAATGTGACCTCAACAGCTCAGCAAAACCTGACAACCTCAGTCAAATGTAGCTGTACAGAAAAACCCTCGGATGGTTCCCTGTGTTAGATCTGACTCCATCAGTGTGAACTTTCAAACCAGTGTTCCCACATGGATGTGCACTGGCGCTGACTTGTGGAGCATCTAAAACCAGTATAATCACAATCTATGGTTATATGTATATAAACACTTTTGGTCCAACATAAGCAGTAAGATCCTTCATAATTGCCCTGAAAAGTTTCCCAACATATAATTTTTTACAGAATATATACAACTTTAAATTTCTATTTTGTACCTTCTGATATATAGAGAAAAGTTATATAAAGGGGTGATTTATTGGTCTTCACCTGTTTGACAGAATCATTATCATTTTTCATTTGTATAAGTCCTACATGCCACTGAATGTTCATAAACAAAGTGCCATTGCTCAACTATCATTTATTTTACAGCCTTGTTTTTTTTTAACATATGCTGAAATGAAACTAATAAAATGTGCCATGGAATGTAGCATTACTGTATGCAGGTGGGAGTGCCTCAACGTTTTATTATTTAAGCTAAATCTGTGGTAGAAAACTGCCAAGTGCAAACATTAAAAGGAGAGTTTAGATTTTTTAAAGTGGGATTCTGCAAAGTAGTCAGAAGCTTGTCTGTAGTATGGTAAATACAATCTTAGCAAACAGAGTTTGTAGAAATTGGGTTAAATTCTGATACAGGCTACTCAGAATAGAAACTTTTTTCTTTTTGTAGATTTCAGCTGGAAACAAACAAGTGGAATGAAGTTCCACCCGATCAAGCGCACAAATAAAACTTGTAGCCTCAAAACCTGTAATTTTGTAGGCGGCTGGTAAATTCATACCCTCACTTGTACTTAGCAGTTGCCATTTTGTACTCCGATTCCGTTTTATACTCAGCAAGTGTCACTTTGTACCCATGTGCTTGTGTACCTCTGTATTTCTGTCCTTTTTTGATCATACACTTGTCGTAAGGCAGACAGATTATGGTATGTTCTTTGTCCGTCCATCCTTAATCTTTCTCTTGTCCCACCCATAACTTCTGATCCGCTCAAGATAATTTAATGACACCTCATACACTTTTATGCACCATCACTAGATGAAATATCATGTACACTTTTCATCATCCAAGCTTCAAGGTCAATGTCACAAATCAAGTTCAAATGTTATACAAGGTCTTTGCTTGTCCGGGCCATTGCTACAGATTGCTGTATAATAGTTTGTCGATGAGCATATAATATACTGTATGCAATACTCTCTTTAGGGATTAATTTATGGTTAGTGATGGGGTCAGAGGTTAAAATGGGGGGTTATTAGACAGGGTTAGATTTGCCAGTCACCAACCTACCCTTAAACTGCAGATGGTATCAGTAGTAATACTCCAAGAAATCACCTGTATTAAGGATGGACATAAAGAAGACCAGGCAGCACGGTGGCGCAACTGGTAGAGCTGCTGCCTCTCAGCGAGCAGGTCCTTGGTTCAAACCCCGGTCCAGGGGCCTTTCTGGGTGGAGTTTGCATGTTCTCTCCGTGCATGCGTGGGTTTTCTCCGGGTACTCCGGTTTCCTCCCACAGACCAAAAACATGCATGTTAGGCTGATTGGTAACTCTAAATTGTCCCTAGGTGTAAGTGGGAGAGTGAATGGTTGTTTGTCTCGTTTGTCTCTATGTGTCCCTGTGATGGACTTGCGACCTGTCCAGGGTGTACCCCGCCTCTCGCTCAGTGATTGCTGGACATGGGCACCAGCGACCCCCGTGACCCAAAATGGAATAAGCGGGTAAAGATAATGGATGGATGGATGGATAAAGAAGACCAAGGCAGGTCGAAAGAGACACATGGCAGATCACTTCTTTTTGTACCCACGATGGTATAAATGCACGGTGACTAATCCTGCAAAAGTACAAAGTGGCAAAATTAAGAAGTGAATTGTTTAACTCTCCTGCTGTCCTTGGGTCAAAATGGCCCTTGAGTCCTCAGTTTTAAAACTAAGGCTTCAAAGGTCATTTTGACCCAAGCACAGCAGGAGGGTAACTTAAAGACATTTTTGTGAAGCAGTACAGATGCTTGGTTGAGAAACAGCGACAAATAACACAACAAGTCTTATTAAAAAGTACCGGGATTTAAAATGAGCTAATATAGCGTATAGAAAAATGTCAAGTTTCCATTCCAAAATGTTAAAATCTGCAAAAACGAGTGAGAATTCAGTCTCACCAGCCGTTATCCTGACTCCTGTTTGAGAATTCATCCCTGTTTCTACAAACTGAGTTCACAAAGACTTCTGTCTAATACAAGTAAGGCTTTGATAACCTTCAAAAGTCTTCAGCTCCAATAAAAACAATTTATTAGCTTAGCGTAAGAACTGAAACAACTTACACTTAGGGTAACAGATTAATTAATGTCATATTGTGATATAATAAACACAATTTGTTATCTGTGTGGCATCAACAGATCATTTCTCTTCAGTAAGGAAAGCCTTTAGATCATGGTGTAACCTGCTGTATGGCAGAACTTCAAACTGCGTTTAGTTAAGAAGGTTTTGACTCATACAGAGCACTTTATGAATATCTAAAGCCTTAATTCCCTTTAAAATAGTCACCAATGCAAATGAGACAGTATTAAGGTTTAAACAGGGTTTCTGATGAGGTGAACTTTATTGAATGAATTTGATCAACGTCTACTGAAGATCCATTTAAGTGGTAGTTTGTATATAGTGACCATTGTACTGATGAGTTTAACACTAACATTTTGTTTTCATGGTAGCAATGTAATCTTAAAACTAACCCCATATTACTGTATTTAATCTGAATAACACGCCTTCCACCCCCTAGTGAGCACTGCTGGTTGATGGTGTGAACAGAACTGAATGATGGTGTGAGCAGGTCTTATACCAGGAGATTTGTCAAAAATGTATTGCTGGCTGGTTTTTGTATAGGTGATGATTTTAATTCATTTGTTGCTAAAATTACCTTGACAATTTTTCACATTATAATGCATCTTTGTACCATTTTTGTAATCAGTCTTAGTAGCTCTTACAAAAACAAAAAAAACAACAACCCAGAAGTAATAACTGAAAACAGTCGTTGAATGCAACTCAAATTCACATTTTAATGTTTTCTTTTTTTCATGTATTGAATTCTTTTCATTTTGGAAATAATACTATTTATAAGTGTCATACTTCATTAAAAAAAAAAAATAATAATGGTAATTTTCAAAGTGTAGCGCTGTTTTCTGTTCCTTTGTCCGATGTGTTCACATCATTTCAGCTTCATGGAGCTTCTTCCAGCTCATTAAAATCTGAAATCAAAGACCAAACTGCTGTGCACTGGGGGACACAAAGGTATTTTTCATATTATGTACTCTGTATATTCAAAATAAATGCTTTGACTTTAGCTCTAAAGAAAATGTATTCGAACTATATTTATGAGCCTATAACATTTTGTAGCCATCTACTGTAGCTCTATCATCAGTGTGGGGTTTGCCAATATGTCTTGAAAAAAATGTTATTCAGCGGTGTGATGTGTTAACATTTAATTTGACTTTTTAAATTTTATTTAAATGCAGCTGTTCTCCTTTTCTTTTGTCTTTATGATCAGGCTTGTGAAATGACCAGGCCTGCTATCTGCTGTATGTCTGAGAGTCTGCATTCATACTAAATAAAGTGTCATGTTGAAATCAACTTGAAATGCGTCAAAGAGTTTTCTATCATAACACATATGGATGGCTGCAGTGTAAATTGTGCTGAAGTTTATTTCACATTATTTTTACTCTACTGTAACAAAATCTAACATAAACCCCAGAACAGTTAAAAACTATTCAGTCTTTTGGTTCATCCATCCATTATCTTCATCTTGTTCTGGAGTTGGGTTGTGGGGGCAGCAGCTTGAGCAGAAGGCCCAGACATCTCTTTCCAGCTGTGGGAGGATCCTAAAGGCTACACAAGGCTCATTTTAACATTTCACTCAGAAGAAAAGATCAATCACAATAAAAATTTAACCTACTTAAGAAGGATGGGGTCAACACTTTAATAAGCTGACTTTAAACAAACGTTTTAAAGTGTAATCAGTTGTCTGTGGTCCTGTGGATCAGCTGATCAGTTTGAGAGAGAAACAGAAAAATTAACTGGTCTTTGACGAACAACTTTCTTTGGCCCATGTTTTAAAGGACCCTAAAGATTGTAAAACATCTTAATTATTTTTTTTTCCTAAAAAAAAGTTTTTAAGTTTTTGAATGTAATTGAATGATAGTGCGGGATAGAAAAATTGATTTGAGATTAGACGAGGAGAGAAGTCAGAGACCAAGACTCAGCTCTCATGTTCACAGAGTTTTCATTAAAAATTTCATAAAATACTAAAGTAGTTTGAATTAATTAAATGTAGCTGTTAGCACAAAAACAATCAAGGTGCTGCAAAAACACATATGAATGACTGAAATGGTTAGAATATCTTCTGCTGGTTTAAAGAAAAGCAAGGAGGCAGACTCTGTGTAATACTGCCCTCTACCGGTAAGAGGTTGTTATAGCAAAGGTCTGCAGCAGATTCAGTTTATTTATTAAAAAAGTCACAATGCTGCAAGTGACAACACCTGTAGTAGTAGCTGTGAAAAAAACATACTTTAAAAAAAGTTGAAAACATTTCCTTTAAGTCAGGGTAGAGTTAAATCTAAGAGGAGCATTATGTGTGTGAAAAGTTACACACAAGTCCACAGACTTGAGTAACAGCAGGCATGGAGTATTTAATAATATAATTTTAGGATGTGCTCTCATTTTTAAGGAGTTTGTCTTTCAAATTATTACAATTTATGTTTCACTCCTGCAGCTTTGAACAAGCAGAAACAGATAAAACATTTGGCTCGGTCAGGAACAGTGAGCTTTTAACAACAGTGAATCAGAACAAAATTTGGACAAAATTGTGTTTTAGAAAAAAGAGGAAAGAGTTTAAACGTCAAAAAATAATTTAACTTAATTGCCATTTCAATATCTTTATTTGTGTTTTAGATATTATGACAGTACGTTCAGTTTAAAGCAACAAACTCTTCACTTTCAGACACAAAAGCAGCACAAACTGTGACCTCGTCTTCAACTAAAGTATGCAAACATGATAATCATGTGTCAGTTCAAAAAAGAGCAGAACAACCACAGTTACCATTAGACTATTTCATTTATTTGATACAACACGTTTCTATTCTATTCTATTCTATTCTATTCTATTCTATTCTATTCTATTC